TCATATTTAGAATTTGCTGAACTTCCTGGGCCAAGATTTAGTGTATTCTAAATATGAATTCAGATCATATTTATTTGATCATTTTTTGGATCTGATCCCTTCTTTTATTGTAAGTTTGTTTTGTGCATATGATGGATGCACAATTCCATCACCAAACTTAAGTAAATATATCAGGACAAAAGAGATTCCAGCGTATCCCCCAGTTTTGAGAGCATATGTTTATACATATGTAGCCCTACATATTCGTTGCTGTCTCAAGTGTAATGTTCATCAAATATCATGACCAGCAGCCAGATAACCCATGGCAAATTGGGATGTAACAATAATGCAGCGCAGCAAGCTGCATGGCCCGCTATGGTCCATTTTAAATGAATGTTAATTTATACTAGAGGCTGACACTTATCAGTGGCAGTGGTCACCTTGCTTGCTGACAATACAGTTCCTGTAGCTCTCGGCGCTACTTAACAAAATCTGCACTAAGAGTCTCCCTGCTCATCACCGAACCACTTTGTGGTTCACTCCTCGCAGGTCAATTTTTTTTAAAACATGAAAATGGAACTGTATATATGTAATCTGAGTACTGTTGAGTGGTTTATAAGAATCCCCTGCTCAATGCTCAAGAAGAGCATAGGGAGGAGACAGGGTAGTAGGGTACCTAACGTAGTGGGAATGATATCCATGTTCAGTCCCAGCATCTGGCAGTGTAGAGTATACTGTATGATTACGACCGAGTCTTCATGTCACACATCACAGAGGGGTTTGAATGAAGGGAAGTGAGTGTGACATCACACATCACCGCAGGTTTTGAAGTTTTTTCTCTTGCATCTAAAATACCAATTTTTTCGAGCCTGCGGCACTCCTAGCTGTGTAGACAGCACTAGGAATCCATAAACTAAGGAGACCTACCCCACCATTGAAGATTTGACTGCAAGGACAGCCTATTCTTGATTTTCTGAAGTACAGATGAAGAGATTGTACTCTTCATCACGCCTCACATCAGATGTTGAAGTGACAAAGAGTTGATTGAAATAGGTCATGCCCTAAACGGCTTAAAGAGTTGGTCATAATCGTACAGTAATAGCATATGACCATGTGAAGAAATGTGATGTCTCAGCGGCACATGAATTTTTTCCCACCCAACGACCCACCACAA